GCTGCGTCCAGCTCCCGCGAGAGCGGCTCTCCTCTCGACGATATAACGTCGAGGCTGGTGTGCGCTGTGCACACCTTCACACCTCCACGCCGAAGATGCAGTAGCAGCGCGTCCCTGGGCGCGAGAGAACATCTTCTTCGCGCTTTCGTATTTCATCCTCCCTCGTATATAGGCCCATGTCGGTGGAGCAGCGTTTTAAGAAGAAATCTCCACTGAACGGCGGAAATTTCACTCCCGTCCACCTTCCAGTTATACCTTTTGTCTCCAATTACACCGATCCCTGGCTTATCTTTTTTTTTTCTATACAATGATGAAAGAAAAGCTTATAGTTTGAAACAATCGTATATGTAGATGTTTGAATCTTACAAATGAAATGTATAAATACATGTTGTACGGCATTTTTCAGAATTGTTGGCACGACAGCGGATTTTCCTAGCGTGCGTATGTGTGAAAACGTGGAATTTCTGAAATCCCCGTGTCGCATCCTCGCGGAGAGATGATAATCCGTTAACACAGTCTGTGACGGATTAGAGATAACGACCACATACTTACCTGAACACGTTGTGCGAAGAATAAAATTTACACTTGCTCTGCATGTGTGAGCGATTTTAAGCTAAAAAAGAAACGAAAAGAACCGGTTCACTTATTTGTTATTTTTCGACCTGTGTAAATGCGTGTAATTTAAAAAAAAAACACGGCAGTACGGTAACGCCCGGGTAAAAATTGTTAAATTTTTACAATGTTAATAGAATAAAATTTGTATTCATCACACACAAACGTTTGCCTTCCTCGAGCAAACAGTAAATTTACAAACGTTCGCGTGTTATGCTCGCACGTGTAATACTCGCTATTTTTCATAACTTTAGGCGAATGCGTTTTATTAAATTAATTGCTCTAAGTATAAATTATAATATGCAAAGGTGTCTTCTCATATTAAGTTATTATCCGTGTATGTTTATATATTCAATTGCATTAGAGCTCGCGTGCTCAATTAATGTATGTGTAAGCAATTATTGCAACATCCGCATGACGGATTTAAGTATACATTCAGAAAATGAAGAAAATAAATAAACGTTTCATAATTTATAATGAATAAATATGGTATATTATTAGAGCGTATATGATGAAAATTTCTGCAATTGCAGTAGAATTGCATGTTATATATAAAGAATATAGTATAAAGTGTAATATAGGTATATATTTGTTACCATATATACACCTTTTCATTACGAATTATAAAAAATTTATTTTATCATTATCAGAGATTACTATTCGCGCATGTTTGAGGTAGCTACTAATTTTCTTCAATTGCAACTTGTGCTGCATTGTTTCGTTGCTGTTTGCGCAAAGAAGTTAACGTTGCCGTCTCCCGTCGACTTTTAAAACTTCGATATTGCATTTTGCGAGCAATATGCTTCTTTGTCGTCAATTCTTTAAGAACCGGAGGGATTCATAAATTTCGTTCCGCACCGCCGAGGCTAGCGTCGCCTCGTAAAGTTGCATGTTTTTCGCATTCATTGCTGAAAACGCTCCGAGCGTACGCGTACGGTGCGAAACGAGCAGCCGTTATTATCCGCTCCCGTATATAAAAATTTGTAAAAGCACATTAATCGTAATGTCGCCGTATAATGGTTGTTATTATATTTCAAATAAACTCAGTTTTGCATGGAGTCCAAAGCCCCGAAGTCTCGCCACCTGCTACAGAATGACGCAAAATAATTTTTGTAGCTCATTTATCATACGTTGTGTATAGTATTGTATATGTTATATAGTATATCGTAATTCTTTAGAATTTCGTAATGTATTTATGGAGACATATATTCGTATAACCGTTTTAAATAATAGATTATACCTTGTTTCGTAAAAACAAAAGTTTCAGAGCTCTATTTTATTTAGTTAGACATTTTTTATTTAGATGGTAAAAATAGCTCTCTCGTCTATATATTTTTTTACCGTCAAAAATATCGTATAAATAATATGTGCGCGAGATAAAATATAGATCTCTCTCTCTCTCTCAATCTTCTGTCCCGCTTTAATACGCGTTATGTGTCTAGTAGAATTAAAAATCAATTTTTATCCCTTTTACGACGTTGATGCACGTAAAGAAGATACCACGAGATCGTCCAGCGCGTGTCTGTTGATGCAATAGACGCGAGCATGCAACACGCAGTCTATTCCCCACGCTTGATTAGAAGTATGGAGAATAGACAGGCACGCGATCATTCTCTAAAGCTAGTTAGATGCCCATTTATAATTGTAGGTCAAAGTGAGATGACGTCAAATCCTCTATTCCCCACTTTCGCATGTCCCGATAATCGCCGGGGAGATCGAATTAAACGATCTCGTTTGCTTCAAAGAGGAAGAATAAAAAGTAAATGATACTTAATTTGCGAGACGGTCGAGAGAGGAGTTTCGGAGAGCGTGTGGCACACACACACTCTCACTGTCTCTTTCATATAGAGATACATAAAAGTTCAGAAAAGCGACATTCTTTCGGCGCACATTCATTCTTTCGGATGTTCCGCACATAAAACGCTCGCAGTGCGTTGGTTTTTACAGCGTTAAAAGGTATGGACACGTGCCGCGTGAAAAATGCATGAGAATCAAGCGACGCGAATTGTGACGACGATATTGCGCGCTGAATATTTTTCCTCTGGCGTACCGGATCGGTCCACATGCTAGATGCGATCCGGAAATCCGGAAGCACCGTTGGGGCAGGCGAGTGTGAAAAGTTACAAACGTTATCCACGTCGCGCGTTACTTTGAGACCTCACCCTGGGGTAAAGAGACTTATTTGATAAAAGTTGCAAAACGCGCCGGATAACGCGCGTAGTCAACTTCTTTTTTTTCCGTGTCTTACCTTTATCCGATTTCCGGGGTGTGTCCCTTGTGCACAGGTAGGATTTATAAAATTAGAATTCGCGCGGATTATATTTAATTATAAATTTAATTGCAACTCTTGGGAGCCCAAGAAAAAGATTTCTCTTCCAAACACTTCCAAACACTCGCCTCAAGTGCTGTCCAATTTCCGTATAAAATTAGCCTTTACGTGGCCTTAGTGTGGCTTTAGTAAATTAATAAACTATTTTTGTTACAACAGTAACAATGCCAATATTCGGTAATAAAGAAAAAGTCAGCATAATTTGTGATGAGAAATCTTTTAGATTCTTTTAAAATTTCTTTTTGAATGACTAAAAAAATATAATACATATTAATTATTTTAATTAATTATATATCTTATCTAAATATATTTTATAATTTAACCAATGTCGTATCATCCAATATCGATCAAGCTCTCTGTCATTGCGGACGAAATGTTAGCACATTTACTTAGGTGGAATTCTCGACGGTACTCGCATAGCGTTCGTCGGAAGATTTTCGAACGTCGTCGCAGCGCGCCGCTTTCGAACGAGCACGCTTTCGAAAGGGAACGTGAAAAGTTACCCTCCAGGAGACGAAGAATCTCGTGTTCGTGTATGTCGGCGGACCGCGCACGGATGAATAGAGTTCCTGGAGGTCCGCCGGCGAGATCGATGGAGCCACGTCCAATCTGTCGGGTGCGCACCCGAGCCACTTCCCGCGTATATTCCCCGTACGTTACTCCGCGGCGTATCCCACTTGCGGCAGCAGTTGACGATAAGTTCCGCCGGCTTCAATCTCCCGATGAGAGGCGGAGCGCGACCGTTTCACCGTGTTACGCGCGTTACGATAAGTAACGGAACGTCGCTCCGGAAATGGGTCTTGCGACGGGAGCGACCGACGGGAGCGCGCGCGGGTTTGTCAGCGCGCCTCTTTCGTTCCCGGGGTTTTTGGTAACGCTCGAATCTCGTTAAATCTCGGTCGAGCGAGAGGTCGGATGAGGAATAGCGGCGAAACGCTGGATTTCAACTGTGCTATTTTTACAGTCGCTCGTCCTTTAATCGCAGCCTGGGCGTGAAAGCGGCGGCAGTGCGTTTGTGCGGAACAGTGCGCCGGCTTTGTTACGAGCCGGCCGAGGCTGGGCAAGGGCCGAGTCATATCTTCCTTTCATAAAACGTAAGCACTGCGCGCGCCTGATATTTCACTCGAGAGAAACTCCAGACTCGGTCGTTTAACCGTGACGTTTCCCTTAGTTCTCAGAATTCTCAGAATCTAATAAACTCAAGTTGTACGTATATTTGTTCCCGTTGTTTAATGTGTTTATAATTCAACTGTGCGTATCTGTTTCTTGCAGTTATCCAATCGTCGACAAAGTTAAGCGAGTTTTTTTTTTTTTTAGCAAAGTTGAAATATGACATACGTCATATTTGTGTTCTGCAATTTGAGTATAGCTTCAAGTGCCTGGAAACTGATTTTCATTCGAGAGTAAAAATTTTCGTAAAAGTTGCAAATATGACGTAGTATATGTTCAAGACAACCCTTCGTTTTCCAATCAATGAAAATCTCGCATATGTATTCTGGGTCGCGCTTACAACTGGAAACCGAGTAAGCTCCGAAAGCTCCGAGTGAGAGAGAGAAAATACCTCGTTCTGAACGAGACGCGCGATACAAACTACGGGAGACGATGTCGTCAACGTCAGCTGTACGTGCGGAATTCTAATCCGGCATGCTCGATTTACAAAATTTCTCGCGCGATTTTGCGTCAACGAGCCTGCATTCCGCTTTGTGTGGCGCATCACATTGCCGCATCACTGTTCGATACTTTTTGTTTCCGATTCGAATAAGTTATCGCGTGCAAAATTCTTTTAGCTCGATCAAACAAACGCAAAAGGGACTGTATTTACGAGACATCGGATATACAATCTGCGCGAATGAAATTCGCGGAAAGTGGGGATTTTGAACAGCTTCTGTGCACAGTTTCAAGCTATTTTCAAGTGCTGTTAAAACTGTGCGCCCTTTAAAGTAAATTTTATTTAGAGAAAATATAGCACTTACCTGGAAAGACCGCGTGTACGGTTATCGTGCAGGCTAAACTTCTAAAATCATCATCGTCAGGCATACAATGAGACAAGGCAAGACAGTTCTTGTAAAACGCATATCGTATATTACGTGATTTCGTTTTTCTCACGATAAAACGTTAGGTTCGGCTTAAATTTATATATTATAGCGCGTAATCTCTCTTCTTTTCTCTTTCTCTCTCTCTTTCTCTCTCTCTCTTTCTCTCTCTCTCTCACACACACATTCATTCATAGCATGGAGATTTGGTTGGCTGCATGAAAGACAAGCGTACCTTCATCACTGTACAACATACATTCAGATGATGTCTTGACAAGCTGTGTTTTAAATTTTGCTGTGTGAGATAATGTAATTATGAGAGGCAGATTAAATTATAAAATTATAAAACATTTTGTTTCCAGACGCTGCGAGCTAAAAAAAAATACATCATCTGAATGCATCTTGGCGAATTTATACAAACATACAATACAATAACACCCTGTCGCAAAGAACGGCACTGATATAGTAAGAAGACGCAATGTCGATGCGCAATGTGTGCGTTTAATCATTCTCCCCTTAGCACCTTTCATTAAAGAACCATAGATTAATTAATTTACCATAGATTAATTCATTACCATAGAATCATTAATTTACAGCGCATATAATATATATGCCATATTGTATTAATATTATAATTAACAATAATAATTCATTGATAAAATAATCTCGAAATATTCAACAAACCTTGACAATAGGCGACAGTCTCCGGCATGGATACGGTCGATAGCCGATGTCGTCGACGAGAAATTTGATGCCTTTTAATTATCAATAATAAAATAATACTATTGGATGAAACGATGGAAGCTCGTGATCCTGTTAATTGAAAAATTTGCGAGTCCCGTGTGAATCCTCGCACTCGTTCCGCGCTTAAAAAAAAAACGCTCGGATGGATACGGAGAATTTTGTAATATAATGGTGCGAATAGTGATGGATGGAGGCCGAATCGAACAGCGCAATTTGTCTCGATTATCACAGCCATAGTGATACGCGATAGCAGCCACTCCAATAGCTCGGTTAGCAGTTTGTGCCCCGAGCCTTCATTGTTTACCGGTTATTGGTTATTCGATACGCAGATTTATGATTTTACTGTAGCCTTGGTCATTTCTAGCTAGCGAGAGAGCTGGCGACTGCCCTACGATAACTTCGGCGAGATGTTAATATCGAGTAATCAAACGCGCGCTGAACAGCGACGATCGATGTGTTAACAGCGTCGTCGTATCGTTTCACAATGACCGAATAATTTGCTTCGCATCTGGTAAGCAGCGTGCTGTGCTTGCGGTAATTTAGTCGGTACGCGCGCGTACATCTTGTTGGATGTGCGCCGCACAGAAATATTCAAGCCCGCCCTGATGGAATTTCACGGAAGCGAAATTCGAACGAGCCGAGCTAAAAATGGGACATTGGCGCATTAGCGACTTACTCGCTAATAAATAAATAACTAAATCCGTAATACTCTTATAAACGAGTAGGTACATAATACCATCAGCTTTCGGATGTGAATTAATTAGCTGGAGAGACGTTAAAACCGGTCGTTCGCTGAGGCATCTATCCCCGCGTGGAAAATTTAAATCCCGTGTGCAATCGCTCGATAATAAAATTGCGCTGAGAATTGACGAAGGTATATCATTTTTCGCGATTCGCGCGAATCACGCGAACGCCGAGCGATCCATGCGTTATCGCGTTTAGAATACGAACGTTTTCAAGACAACGCAGCCAACCGCCTCTGTTTCGCCTAACGCCTTCCTTATGTTAACGTAACACACGTCCCTCTTTGGCCCTCGTGTCCACTCCCGTCACGATAATAGAAAAGTTCGTGCGGTTCACAGGTGATAATGTTTCGTTCACCATCGTGGAGCACTGTCCCTTTGTCATCGCCACGAAGTGCTCTCTCGGCAGCCCGGGCGGCTCTAGTGATACCCGAGGAAGCTGGTCGAGCCTTCATCTGAGCACCTGACCCGATCGGGCTAGAACGGCGGCCAGGAAGAATAGCGACGAGCTAGCGGCGTCCGCTCGTACGAGCCGTGCACCGCTATGATGTAACTCGGCTAAACTTTCTCCTGAAACAGCGTCAAATACACTCACAAGGAAACGACCGCGGATCCTGCTCCGACATCGACAGTATCCGGATAAAATAGTAGGAATCAAAACGAGAGAGAAAATCGCAAATTTTAAGAACTCTGGTACAAATATTTCAAAATGTACATATTTAAGCATTTTATCAAAAAGTAAAATGTATGTATATTTTATCAAATAAAATATAAACGTATATATATTTTATCAAATACATACAAAGATCAAGCGTTTCTTAGTTTTTGAGCTGTCGTAAAACAAATTTGAGACTCCTCGAAATGGAAGACAATTGCGAACATTTCCTTGAACGTTTCAAATAACGTGGTGCTTCGATCGAGAATTTAGACGCGCTCGTTGAACATCAGCTTATAACGAAAGCCCGAGCGACATAGTGCAAGTATCAAAACATCTTGTACAATTTGATTTCAACTGAGACGTGTCGAGCGTGCATTAAGCTACACACGGAGGATAATCGAAATGACGTTTGCGTGAGTCACGTTGTAATACGAGGTTCCTGAGGGATCGTGAATTCCCCGGCATTCGATTCCAAGTGAAGACGCGAACACGGATCGTATATATACATATGCAACGCCGAAAGGTGTTGGAATTTATGAACTAATTATTTTTGCATGCCGCGCGAAGTGAGTTCTCTTCGTCATCGATGATCGTGTTACGCAAATTTCCTTCGTTATCTTTGTAAATTGTAAAATCAAAATGTCCCGACTATGATACATCTTTATTTCCAACATTCTATGGAAAAAATAAGAAATATTGGAATTATTTTATTAAGGAAACGAGACAATTGTTTTATTTATATGGTTTTAGTTTTGTAACGAGAACATGCAAGTAATGAGTATCCTGAAATTGCAAATTGAATAGTATTCACTTGAAGGACTAAGAAAAAAGATAACAAGTAACAAACATATAATAAAGATATTACAGCTTTTATGGGAGCTTTCTACCGCCTTAGGAAGTGTCATAGCAGCTCGATAGGGATTAATCCAGAAACCATAATGCGTAAGTCGCGACATCAAAGCAATTCTACAAAGTTTGCCTGTGTAGTTAGAAAATTCAACTTGCGTAGTACTTAGTTCCGTCGCGAGTTCCTGCGCGCGAAAGCGTTTTAAGAAGATCCTTTATAACAAGTTCCGACATGCGAACTTTCTCGCAGGAGTCAAACACCAAGGGGACTTTTAGGCGCATCTGCGAGCGCAGTTCAAGATAAATATTAAATGCTTCAAAAGCACGTACTTCGGTAATAAATAGCAGCGAGTGTGCAGTTAGCTATCACATGGAGAGACAGAGTGGAGTGTTATACACAAACGGCTTCGGCTTTTGTTACGGAGCGAATACCTTGCATCGGCGAATGCTGTGAACTCGTCAGTTACTTAAGACTTACAGCGCGATTCCCGTTCTAACTGTTATGTTACCGGTCTGTTTCGTATCACGTTAACCGGCGAATCGTTTGATGTCTCAAACAAGTTTCCATCGGCTGTTCCAAAACCAGATGGAATTTCAATGATAGATTTTTCGAGACAAATTTCAAATCCAAATTAAACTGGACGCGCGTGCACGCACAAAGGTAGTGACAATATAGAATTCCTGCACTATTTAAACACCATTTAACCGAATGTTCGATTATCCGAGTAGCGTCATCAAAGAAACGAAAATAAACGTTCCGCGTGTTGTGCAGTGTAAACAAGTGCGTTTATAGTTACATAGACGATGCGCTCTTAATTCAAGTAGTCTGAATTCTACAAACGTGTTGGCAAAATGTAAAATGTTACGTACATTCTACCGTGTAAATAAATTAACATTCTACAGTCATTTTCAAGCAAACGCTGCTTTAAAAATAAGTTTTACAATAGCACGAAGCAGCGAAAGACAGTTTCATTAAAATAGCTAAGAGATATGTAAATTAACAGAAAAACTGGAAAAATAGAACGAATAAAACAAGCCATGATTTAATTAAATCATAATTTTTGTTTTGCTACGTTTGCAGAATATCATGTAATAAATAAATTTTTCAAAAAACATTATTCCCAATTGATTGCTCGAGTATTTTGTTTTTCGATTAAATTAAATATGATAAATTAAATATAACAGGAACTTTACAGTAGTATAGAATTTTGATGCGCCTTATAACGCAAGTAAACCAACTAGATGACAGCATCGTTAATTTCACAGGCTACAGCGATAAAAGCAAAAGCGACAAAAGAGCCATCGAGAAGTATATTATCAGAAATACAAAAATATACTCACCGTTTAAAACGTGCACGTGAACTGTGGCGGGTTGGTCCGGCATGGTGGTGAGCTGGCAGGTGTAATTTCCGCTATCCGTAGGTCCGACCTTAGCTATGCTGAGAGTCGAATTGGCCCCCTCTTCCATCAGGTCCGTTTTCACGCTACAACAGGCACAATGCACGGCGTTTGAAATTTCAATGCTTTCCGAAAGTTCGCCGATGAGAATTTCTCACTGTATATATTTCGTACTGCGATTGATGACGTAGCTGAAAATAATTCGAATGTATATATGCATTCGAATTATTTTTTTTTGTCGCGCAGCGATTTTTGTAACGCGTTATTAGAATCTGTGTCTATATATTCGAGATTTTTAAATCACAAGTTCTTATCGGTATACCTGCGATAATCACGGGAGACACGGAAGGCGCAAGAAGCTTCATTAATTAAATGGCTAATGAGCGCACGTCCAAGACAAAAAAAGTGTGTCAATCACGACATTTCGGAAACATTCCGTTAGAAAATCCGCTCGAGCAAAATTGCCAGCGCGAAGTCGCGAAATCGCTCGGTGTAGTCGCGAGAGAAGAGAGCATCTCCCGAGGGTAACGAGAGCTCCTCAATTTCGCCGGTTCTACAGCCCTTGCACCTTGCTTCTTTGTCCTAACTAATCGCCGATTCTCCATCACCACTCGAGTCGTTTCTCTTCTCTCCCCGACTCACTCTTTTTTTTTATCTCCGCTCTCGCACACCGGCACGCCCGTTCCCCATTCGCACGCTTTTATGCGAACTTTCTTACGCGGCAGGAGGTAAGTTAATTGCAAATCGAGCCAAAATTATCGGCTCCCGCGAGAACGGTTTGTACTCTGTGCAAAAACAATAGACCGAATAATAAGTTCCGCCGAATAAATATTTGCGCAGCGCCGGCGAATTACCTTGATAATGCTCTTCATATTGATCAACGGTCTTTTTTTGTTCTTGGCTGCGTCGAATTGCATATTTCAATCTCGCGCAAACAATTCGCGAATTCGCTTCTACAAACGCGGGGGAGGGAGAAGGGAAGAGGATAATGTAGTAATATATTATGATACAGTGCTCATAAAAGCTTAAGAAAAGTTGCAGAGTATACATAATTTTTCTGCTCGCATTGTTGGAAACAAAAAGTGGATCGCGAAATTCGACATAACTTACATACGCAGTACTTAACATTTTTGGCGACATACTTTGTGTCAATATAATTTTAACGAGCGTTCTCCCACACGCGTATCTTATTCGTCTTAAGGATAAACTATTGGATGCAGGAGTTTCAAGTAACGAAACCTGTCCTTTTCGCGAAATCACATTTCAAGTTGAAAAGAAGGGCGAAGAATGTGCAACGAGACAATGACTTCGTTAAAGTGCGCTAATTGCAGGCAGAAATATACCCGGTTTCTCGAGGGAGAAAAGTTTCCGCGTGAAACTGCATGCTGCAGAGATGTCTTGCGGAAAATTGCTCTCGTACTTGACGTTCCTATTTTTGCGAGAAACTAGCGGAAAAAGGGGACTCTGTTCGAGCGAGCATTTTGTACGAGAGTACACGAGGCGCAAGTGGCGACTCGGAGCGCTTTCCAGCAGAGCGCGGCAAATATTGAGGAATGACGGGCACGGTTAATAGTTTTTAACATGATCGCGTTTTTATATTCTCTCAAAATATACCGAAGCTGGGATGATAATCGTAAACGGTTAAATAAAAAAATATATATAGTGCAAGAGAAAGGAGAGAAAGAGAGAGAAATGAAGGTTGACAAAAAAAAACGATTATAAAAGTTATCACAATTTTACTGACAATCCCCGCCAGCTCTGTACGACGATCGCGTCGGAGCTGTGTCCTACATGACTTCCAGTTCGCGCTTTTAAAGGCTACTTGACAGCTGGAGCGGCAAACGTTTGCCCGGTAAATATTTCACAGCGGAAATTTTTAGCATTTCCTTTTTGCGTTCTGTACGCGACAGACGTGACCGCACGGAACAAAAGCGTGCGCTTTTATGGCAATACCATACCCGGACGGTATTGTCGCCATGCGTTCTACCGGGAATAATATGAGCTCTTCAACAATAAGTGTTATTTGATAACGTAAACTGGTCTCCCTTTTATGTTTTTGTTCTAACGACCGATCAAATCGCGCCCGAATTTAATATGACCTTTCTCGCGCGAGACCGACGGGTATCGTTCGCGGAATACCGCGAACGACAACTTTTGAGAGTCTGTAAAGAGAATGTTAGCGAGAGGAAGGGACAAAGCAGGGCGCGACAAAGAGGGATATAAAAGCCACCACAAAGAATCATTTAAACTGGCAATTTTGTTCAATAGAACCAATTAAGGATTCGATTCACGCTGCTGCAACTGCTTTATTTAATTGGAATGCGACTGTCCAGGACTTTCCGCAGCAAAGCATGTCACCCCCTCTCTCTCTCTTTCTCTCTCTATCTCGTTGTAGCCTTCCCACAACGTGACCCCACGTGTCGCAATCGTTGCTTAATCGTCGTTCCTTCTACGTTCTATGATGGTTAACGACGGTGAAAGCCCGCAGACAAAGCTTGCCCTTTTACAGCTGCTTCCCGAGCTACGCTTTCTTCGCGGAGAAAACGTCCTTATTTATGCCAGGTTGCGTGTCGCTGAGAGTGGAAACTTGACCGAGAAAGGTTTTGAATCGTGCCGAGCAAGCGAGACTTTAATCGAAAAAGTTCCTCCATTGCAATTTGTCGCTTTCGTTACACTCCCCCCCTCTCTCCCTTCTCTCCTTCTCTGACCGGTTGAACACCGGCAGGGCAAGCGATCGCTCGTTTATTCACGACAGTGAGCGTCCACCGTCTGTATCCAGCAACGTTGAGATGCTTTGCCAGAGGATTCTTACAATTAATTCGATACGGAAACGCGAAATGAAAATAGAAACTAGTTACTGAGAATCTTGGAATCAGCTTAAAAAACTGCACTGTCGAATGTAAAGTTAAACGTGGATATTTACGTCTTTAAATAGCTTTAAAGTTGCTTAGAGCTTTGCTTTTCTTTATCACGATTACTGTACTGTAAGTAACTTTGTGTTAATTCCACAGTAGCGGTTTTACAAAATTGAACACCGCACAGCGTTAATTATTTTTAATTGCGTCTGCGAGTAAACTTAAGCTGCGTACCGGCTTATAAGTATAATGGGGATTAAGGTCACCAATGAAAGTTTCTGTATGTATGACTCGCGTAATTTAAATGCGATGATATGCAAATGGCAATTGGCCAAGCTGCAGAATGCAATAATTACGGAACAGTAATTAAGGCGCATCGGAATTGTATCACATATTTAATTAAATATTATTTATATATTACATATAGGAACTTATATCTTTTATAATCGCTTTAAACTTACTAATCGTTTTGTTTTATTCTTCGTCGACCGGAAGGATGAAACATATAATAAGCGAGCATGAAATCCGAGTTCTTTTTTTCACATGTGCAAACGCGCAAATACACTCACGGGTATTCGGTGCTCGGAAATTGACAATACGTAATGCCGTGTAATAACGCAGCCGACAAACGCGATGATTAATCGCACGAGACATTTACTTTGATCGATGAATCGATGCGGCTGTTAACCCTATATAAGCGATTAGCTATTTCTTTATCCGCGATGCAATCAGCCGAAACTGCATTGGTACTGTATATTACTGGCAATTTATCATTCAACACGATGTCGACACGGCGGACGCTCTTTTTGCCGGCGCGACGTGGGACGTATTCGTTATATGTAAAATGAGTTCAATAATCAATCTGGTGTTCTCGTACGTGACAACAGTAGGAAACTGTGCCAAATGGAAATTACATGCTTATCAAACATTAATTATGTCTTATTTTTATGCATATTAATTTCCAATTGCACAGAATGGTATAAAAAATGTATAAGATATATACATATATATAATTTTAATGAGAAAAAACAGCTACTTTTTTCGTATTCATTAATAATATAATTTAAAAAACCAAAATATATGGTGACATTTTTTCGTCCCTGATTTTAAGATCACGATCAAGCATCTTCTATCGCGATATTTGTGATAACATCTTTTCTTTTAACTTTAACTTTGTATCGCGTGCAAAAAAAATCAGTCTGATCGCCGCAATATTGACAAAATAAAAGCAGGAGAGAGAACTAATACCTATGTTGAGGCGAGCAATATGTCCTTTATCACGATACAGATTGGGCCAGGTTAAATCTACATTACGAATAAATTAAGATAGATCGTAAACATAACGTTGATTCGACGGGGCGGAAAATTCGATTTAACGCCGGTCAACTACGGGCCACGCTTTGTGCATTACTATCGTCGTCGTAACCGGAGGTTTAATTACGACCCCGAAAATTTAATGTAATTTGACACTGCGTAAAACGCTATTTTCCACCGTGCAGTTCCCCTTCCATTCGATGATCGTTACGCCGTCAAGGGTCCTGCTGTAATTTAATGAATTAAACACGATGTTAAGCGCTATAAATTCATTGTCACGTTACCTTCAGTCCAGATACTGTTCGCAAATAATTCGATTAACGATTAATTCGGATCGTTGTTATATATCCCTACTTTAGCAACGTTCAAAAATGTGTGCATTTATATATTCCGTTTAAGAAGATATAGGTGAATCGAACGAGAAATTCTCAGTGCTCCACATTTCCATAAAATATAACTAATATAACAAATTTCATTACATTTGTATAAAGATTTCAATAATTCGGAAACAGACGTAGATATAATTTATAAGAAGTGATTCTAAATGAAATAATACCTAGTTTATAATGTCAAAGATATAAGTGATGAATTTATGCTTGATAGAAAATTATATTTTCCGACTGCTCTCTCTGTTTCTATGAGAATTTCTTTCAGGATATCGCAACGTTGACCATTGGGTGTACCGCAGTCGACATTATCCAAAAGCGCGAGACCATCAGCGACGCGTCGTTAAATTATGGGGGATAGAGAAAGCCGGATAGACGTCGAGTGATTAATTAAATGAAAGGTTAAATTAAGCGAGATAGCAATAACTCTTGCAGCGCCCGCCACTGTAGACACTGTTGCATTGGGAAAACGAGTGCTATGGCACTGCAGCAGTTTCGCATGCAACGTGTTTACGGTTTGTGGTTCACGGAGAGTCCCACGTGGGAGAGCGAATGCGAACGAGATAGAAAACGGAAGGGAAAAAAATAATATTTAAGCACGATCGATCCGACATGTATTCGAGTTCGGCTCAAACGAAACGTCAAAATACTGGAATATTAAAAAAAATATATATCGCGAGAAAAAACGGACAAAAATTCAAAGCGGATAGAGGCGATAGAAACGATTTCGGAAGAGATAAAATAACCGAGAGACTTTAATTCGCTTAGAGATTTCAATTTCCATTGTTTCTTACAGAGAATAGAAAGGCGCTAATTAATACTTTAATGTGTCGCGGACGGCAAAATATTTAGCGTCGGCGCCCATGTAGTCGTCCGGGCAGATCGCAGAGGGACGCTATTCTCGTAGCGGGATCCACAACCTCGTGTGTATATGTACAGTCGTCCGTATGTACTGAAGCGCGCAACGCAAACTAATTTCATTTACTGTCCCGCCGTGTCTCACCGGCACCTAACTTTACTGCCAGGGCGGGCCCACGGAAGCGTCGGTCTCGACCAAGAACCGGCCCCCCGAACACCGGAACCCTTCTCGTCGACACGCCGCGCGCCGCCATCCTAACTCTCGCGGCTGCTGTCGTCAACCACCATGTACTCCGTGTGAGCACTCTACCGGCACGTATTTTCGGGTCCTTCGGGGATGTTCTTGTATTCTGGCCCGGGAAATCGCGAGCAAAAAGGCGTGCTGAAAGCGATGACATTTCGCGCATCAGATGCCGTCAGATGTACGAGTATAAAATTTACCGAAGCTTCATGATACTCTCACAAAAAGGGTAAAGTATTATCCGACAAGTACGCAATTTTCCCCACAGATAGCTTATAAAAGGGAGCTTATTTTGTGACATGCATATTTAATTTTTATATGCGCACATAAAAGAAAATGGATTTTTATGGTTTCTTTTATGATCCTTTCAACCGGCAAATTAAATACATAAAATATGACGAAAAATAGTTTTCTTCGTTAATCTTGACACAGATTGTATTCTTCGTCTATCATATATAATTCGCAATATAATTTGTTGTTGTAAAAGAGAATTCTGACATTCGATTGTTTAGCAGTAAAACAAAATCAATCCGCCAAAGACGTGTGCAAGTACATTACTACAAATTCACATCTCTCGTTAACGTCGGATTTTCATTTCGTTTCGCTTTTTGAGATTGCAGCTGTGAGCATATATTCAACATGATAAATTACATCATTTATCATACTTAACAAAGTGACGCTGGACAAGACAAGAAAAACGCGAATATGCGACAACTGGGATAAAATTTATAAATGGGATGGGAAATTTCGCGAGTTTTTTTTTTTCGACTTTCGCGAAATTTTCGGGCTCGACTCGAACGAGGCGTGTGAAACGACCGGAATACGTTCCATAATGGAATGTTTTATATCCCATATCTCATATCTCATTGAACGACGTGGAAGGAGCTATATATTAACGAAGCTTAATACGACAGCGTGTCGCTCGCGCCTTTTTCTTATTTCCGCCTGAGTTTTATTCAGCGCGACAGTTGAACGAGCCGGCGAATCTCTTCGCCATTATACGGATCGCGGATAATGAATTCTTACGCTCCAGAATCGGTTCTTTGAAATTCTACTGTTCCAGCCAAGTTGTAGGAATCTATAATATATAATCAGAGAGAGAGAGAGAGAGAGAGAGAGAGAGAGAGAGAGAGAGAGAGAGAGAGAGAGAGAGGAGAGAGGGGAGG